TGGATGTTATACCAACAAAAACAAAAATGACTAGCTTTAGCAGTTTTCTTGTCATTTTCTTTGCAAATATGTGGATACTGGTGGTAATACACAGAGTAAATTATACTCACTTTAACTTTATGCTTTATTTCTTCAAGGTAGGATACTCAGTTTCTCCACAATAATTTTTTTTTTAAATCACAAAAGCCTGCATGCATGCATGCATGCATGCATGCATGCATGCATGCATGCATGCATGCATGCATGCATGCATGCATGCAGGCTTTTGTGATTTAAAAAAAAAATTATTGTGGAGAAACTGAGTATCCTACCTTGAAGAAATAAAGCATAAAGTTAAAGTGAGTATAATTTACTCTGTGTATTACCACCAGTATCCACATATTTGCAAAGAAAATGACAAGAAAACTGCTAAAGCTAGTCATTTTTGTTTTTGTTGGTATAACATCCAATAAAATTCAGTTTTATGTTAATTTTGGTCAAAGTTTGAAGGTCCGCTGCGGAGGAACCAAAGAGCCACATGTGGCTCCAGAGCCACAGGTTGCAGACCGCTGACTTATTTTAACAGAGAAAGATAAAACTTTTGTGAAACAAAAGTATTAAGTATTCCATTTTAAGCTAATGTATAATTAGCAACCTGATAATATTAGCACAGATTTTTTAGATTTAATTTCTAAATGTCTTCTAATGAAGTTCATAACAATAGCATCCTTTTATCAAGACTTGCACATGTTGTTTGTCTTAAAGGCTCAGTTTCAAGTCTTATTTAGCGGACAGGTCCTTTTCTGTTTCCATAGTGCAATATTTTTCTTCCTCTGCTCCTTTTCGTTGTGGCGTGCCTCAAGGGTCCATTTTGGGCCCTATGTTGTTTTGCGGATCAATATTTAGAAAGCACAGCATTCATTTCCACTGCTACGCTGATGACGTCCAAATATTTTTTCCTTTTACATCTGATGCCTCTGCCCCATTGCAGCCTGTGTTTAACTGTGATGTCAAAGACTGGTTAAATCACAGCTGTTTGACCCTGAAAAAAAATAGACATCATTTTATTTGAAAACCAGACTCCTCTGTTGGGTGTGCTGAAATTCTGGGTCCTCTTGCTCCTCATTCCTCAGTGGTCAAGAATCTTGGGGGGTGTTTTTCAGACAGTTCTTTTAAACTTGATGATCAATATCCTCAGTTGTCAAAACTAGTTTTCATCAGTTACGCCAAAAAGCCAAAGCAAAATCTTACCTTCCTCTTAAATACCTCACAACTATCATCCACACTTTCATCACCACCAGACTGGAATATTGCAACTCTTTATATGTTTTTTAAGTGTTGATAAAGATTTGTGGTGTTACCTCGAGAGGTAGCAACAGCAGCAAGGCAGGTTAAGCACAATACGTGTCGTTGCACAGCGTCTTCTTTTTTATAGCCAAAATAATTTCAAACAACGCTCTTTGGTACCAAACTTTCAGTCCTATCAACTTCTGTTGAGCCTGTCGCCATTGTGCAACCAGTTAAAGTGCAGTGTTGACATCTCCCTGCTCTGCTTTGCTCCGCTCCGCTCACTCCCAAGACAGGTAACCAGATCACGTGACTAGTCAAATTGCAGCCTTTGCCATTAGAAAATCTTATTTTATCATATCGCGATATTATTGCAAATGCAATTAATTGTTCAGCTTCCGCTGAAAAGTCACAGAGTTTCTGGCGGTGTACACGTACATGTTTTCATCTGACACACGCCTAATTCTTTCAGATTTCTGTAAACGTATCAGACAACACACACACATCTCTTACATTTCATCCACACAGTAAGTGTTCACCGTTATTCAGCTAAGTCTTCACAGTTTTAGTTTTATTTCTTAAACGTGAGAGAAGTGATTTAGCAGGCAGCTTGGTTGGAGTTACGCCCACGTTTCCAATCCTCTGCTGCTTGAGGTGGGTGTGATCTCAGGCCCTTTCTTGCTGGTGGTGTGTATCGCGTGGCTGGTTTATACTGTGACCTGTGCTCCGCTTAACACCACTCCTTAGTGCAAAACACACACGCCATGTGCTCTAAAGGCAACAAACGTGTTGCTTTTATTTAGAACTGAAACTCCGTCCTCATGCAGGAGGGTTGTTTTGAAGAAGTTCTGGTGTCGCAGTGGGATAGAGATAAAACATACAATACATCCAGAGGACACACATAACTACTGACTACAGTAGTCCCTCGTTTATTATGGGTGTTAAGTTGCAGACCCCCCCGCAATAAGTGAAATCTGCGAAGTAGCAATGTTATTTTATTTTAGTGTTTATATATATATAAATATATATATATATATATATATATATATATATATATATATATATATATATATAGGCTTTAGAAATCCTTCCCACACTCTTGCAATGTTCTAAGCTCTTAAACCTACGTAATTTTAACAACATACATACAGCACTGTATATGTAGCTACTAAATTTTACTTACCAGGCTCTGCGGAACAGGAGCAGCTCTCGTTGCGGCCCGACTTGGTTCTGGTCCGTCTCAGTTCTGTTTCTGCAGCAACAACGCCCTCAATCAATTTTCTAAACTCTTATTCACATGTGTCAAACTCAAGGCCCGGAAGCCAAATGTGGCCCGCGTGGACATCTTATCTGGCCCCCAAGATGTTATGTTAAACATAAAATGATTTTATCACTTGAATTTTTTCAGTAATCTTTGATTAACATCAAATGAGACCAATCAAATTCTTGTTGAGGAACCTGCAACCAAGAAAAGATGTTGGGTATCTAACTTGAGTTAATATAGATTCTGAAACTAGTCCTTAGTTTGAACAAGGTTTTAATTTTGACCCCCTTTTGTAAGTGAGTTTGACACCCCTTACACCTACTAATTTTAACAATATACTTATATGTACAGTAGCATCTAAATTTTACCTACCAACATGGAGGTCCTTGTTGGCCAGTTGAAAGAGATGAAAAACATGCCAGTAGACTCTAGATGGACTGCCGGATCTTTGGAGCACAGAACTACTCGGCGGTCCACGTAGGCGGACTACCAGCTCTCAAGATTCACCAATGGGCTTGGAGGTCTGGTTCTGCTCTGGTTTTGGTCTGGTTCGGTGGGTTCCATGTGGCTGCTCTGCATCCGCTGGGTGCCGAAGTCACTGTAATAAGCGCCAAACTTTTTCCGATCAGATCAAAACTTTCCCTCTAGTTTTTCAGTAGAAGGAAACTGGGCTTCTGGGAAATGTGGTTGTTATGAGGAGGAATACAGTGTAAGCTTACTGAGAGAAAACTACAAAATGGCGGCACATGTCCGAAGTATTTTATTTTTTTCGTTAACTTTTCACTGTACAGTATCCAGGACTGTCCCAATCTTGTGACTAATATTAAAGTTGTTAATCATGTTCGTGCACATTTTTTTTGTACATTATGTACTGTACGTTCACAAACTGCAATAGAACGAGTCTGCGAAAGTCGAACCGCGAAGTAGCGAGGGACTACTGTATATGTGATTAAAGGACACTGAACTTTCAAAATAAAGGCACTATTTAACATGGTCTGTAAGGAAATTTTCAGTGAAATGGTGAAACTTGTTTGAAGTCAACTAAATTTAAGATGGCTGCCACAGCCAACAGACCTGAAAACACAAAAATAGCTATTCAGTCAATTCTACAAGTATTGTTCTCAAATTTGATGTGGTAGTAGCTGAGAGTGATCTCCAACACATATATATATATATATATATATATATTAGCACAAATAGATTAAAAAAACTCCCATATTTGATTAAAAAAATTGCCATTAACCAACTGGAGTTAATTCTGTTAGTAAAATATCATAACCCATTAATCATATTTTCATAGAACATTTAGGAAGTAATAATTGGATGTGCATCTACAGCTTTGGAGCCAACCTAATTCAAGATGGCCAACACACTTTAGAAAAAACACAAAATATGTTTTAATTCAGTAAATTCTACAGATATTGTGATCAAATCTGGTGAGGTAGTAGCTTAGTGTCAGTCACAACTAGGCCAGTCACGATAAACAATAAATCAATTAATCGCATGATTAATGAAAAGTATCAACCTCATTTTCATTTATCAGCTTCATCGATTCTTCGTGTCTCTCTCTTTCTACTGAAGACACTGGATGACAAAACTGTCCAAAATTGCATTTTTGGATTGTTAAAAGCAGCTAAGCTAAGAAGCTAAGCTACGAGCTAAGCTAATAGGCCGACCTCAGGAAAAAAACCCCGTCTTGTTCAAGCTCCAACATTCACGGTTGAAACCCGTGCCTTCGTGTAAAAAGTTTTTCTCTGCAAAAAGAAGCTGAGAACTTGTTTACTGTTTTTTTAATTAAAATCTTTGTGTGAAAAATGCTATGCTAAAGAGCTCCAACCACACCGAGCATCTGCCATTTTGAGAACCGAATAGAGACAGCCCATGTCACGGCAAGGGGCCTCCCTCCCATTTTTCTTAAAGAGACACGCTGCTCGCTCCCTCACTATCCATCCTTCGGTTCAAATAATCTTATACTGCCATCCGGTGGTCATAAAAAGGTACTGCATGCAAAACAAATTAGCAAACATTTCTTCGTAAATTTGACAATAATTACTAATTATTGTCAAATTTCAAACAATATTATAGTTTATCGCAATAATTTCTGACACAATTAATTGCCCCGCAAAATTTAATATCGTGATAGGCCTATTCACGATAAATGCTCTAAACGTAACTTGTTGCATGAGATGGACTTATGGGCTCTATTCCATTTCGAAGTGGCCCAAGCAGCTAATTGCCATTAGACAAAATTAACTGCAACACTATCGGTTCAGCAGATATTGAGAAAAACATTTGACCCAAGTCTGCACTAAACTCTGTGATTTTTAGACTAAAACTTCTGCAACACACACATTCAGTAGTATCCTTTATTATATACAGTACAGTATGAGTCCATTTGATTCTCTGCGTGTTTAAACAGTAAAGAACTGCTCAGTTCAATCTTCTCTTTCTGCTTTTTTTTTTCCCACAGGGGATTTGGAAAGCAAGGATTCCAGTGCCAAGGTAAAGACAAACATCTATCTACTGTGCATGACATTTACATTGGGCTCTGTGTGTGTTTCTTTTCCTCAGGCTTTTCTACGTAGCTTTTTTTTTTGGATAAGTCTGCTGTGGATTTGGTCAAGCTTTCGAGCCTATCTGTCATGACAAAAGAATGCGGGATTTCCTGAATTTATTGTAGGCTGACAGTGGCTGTTAAATGTTGTCCGTTGTCTAAATCGGATTTACGATATGTTTACGTGACAAAATAAGAGAAGTTAATGCTTTTGCTGTCCGTGAGAACACAAGCAGTTCTTTGGGTTTTGTGACTTAATGTTCAATAAGGATTAAAACGCAGATACTAATAGTTGCAACTTAGATGCATTGTGATTTTTTAAAATTGCTTCTCGTCAACAAAGTGTCTCATATCAAATGGAAATTATTTGCATAAACGTCAAAGCCGGTTGAAAGAGAGGCTTATCCCTAAAATCCCTCAACAACAAACAATGCACTGAAAAGATGAAAATTTGACATTAAATTATGTTTTATAAAACAATTACATAAGGAGAAAGAAAAAATAGGAGTGCAGCAAAGTTCACAGACGTGAGCCGATTCCTCCCCCTGAATAGGTTGCATCATCTTCGGCATTTTTGAAGATTGTTTTCCAAACATCCTTTGAGCTTGTCTAATGCGGAAAACTCTTTGCCTGCCAAAGTCGTGCTGAAAGTGCCAACCAGAGCGCACGGCTCGCTGCAGATATAAATGCAAACGTAAAATGTAAAAAAAAACCTTGAATATTAAGGTACCGTATTTTTTGGACTATAAGTTGCACTTAAAATCCTTTAATTTTCTCAAAAATTGACAGTGAGCCTTATAATCCGGTGCACCTTGTACTTACTGACCTCAAAACGATTTTATGTAGTTATTGTGAATGAGTTGCATAAAGTTTGACTTAAAAGTTTGACTTTGACTGTTGTGTTTTGCTTAATGCGCCTCATAATCCAGTGCGCCTTATAGTCCGAAAAATACGGTATTCTTCAAAGTTTATCACCGCAGTGAAATGACTCTGGGTGCTTTTACATGTTTATAAAGTTGTACGTTTTCTAAAATTCTTAAAAATATAAAAATTTTCCCCATTTTTTTTTTTATTGCAGCGTTCATTTTTGCTATATATATATATTTGTCTTTCGTAATTATTTTTGCTAGAATCTTGAAATTCATGATTCACTTTAACATTACCTGTTGCAGTCAAGCCTATTTGTCTGTTAGCAAAATATCTATATATTTATTTTGTGAATATTAAATTATTTAATTAGTATTTTTTTTTTCTTGAAGTGGTTCACTGGAGCAGGAGACAGGTGGTCTATTGGGAACCTAAAGATAAACATTTTATGATGGAAGGAGTTTGATCTCACTGAATCAGCATCGCCTCTCCCGAGAGCGAGACATCCAGAGGTTGTAACCGAATCATTACTGCTAAATGTAGAAGGTTCATAGGTGCAGCGTGTGTCTTCAGGGGCGTATGAGTCATGAAACTGTATGGGAACATGCATATTAGCCCATGTCTACATGTAAATCCCCACCCCCAAGGACACGACTGCTAAAAAAAACCCAACACCCACGCTTTATAATGTGGTTCACCCTTCTTCCAGCTCCTGCCTGAAACCAAACTCAGTAATGAGTCAGTCCGAGGTGTTGGGAGTGTTAATAAACCAGCGTGTTTTCCCACAACCTGACATTATCGTCAGCACGTTTCTAAACCCCTTTCTCTGCTTTCACAGCTACTTGTCATTTTCATCTTGCCTCATTGTTACTGTCACAGTTTTCAGTATGGGAGAGATAATGAACTGAGCCACTGGAAGGACAGCGTTTTAGAGACACAAATATACAAAAAGTGCACCGGAGCTTTTTTCTTTCTGCATTCAATACAAGGCGCATCTCTGAAAAGGCTGAACTCTGCTCCCCCCCCTATCATAAATCCATGCCCTGACCTGTTGCATAAATAATGCTCCTACCTTATCGAGATGAAGGTGATTAGTTACTGTGCAGCTATTCAAAGAGCGAAAGGTTCCCATTTTTTTTAAAGCTCACTCACTCAATCATCAAATATTAATCTGAAGATCCCATAAAATGAGGGTCAGATTCCCCAGCAGAGCCGGTGAGCCTCTCAGTCACTGCTTGAATGACACGGTGATAAACGGGAAAGTGGCATTTCTATAACTAGGGTGACATTTAATTTTCAGCCCCGTAAATGTCTCTTTTCTAAGAATGGGCCGGGGCGTGCGTTAAGCGTGTCATTAAAGGTGTTAAAGAGTATATTTCGCCCAACATGACCACAAAAAACTTAAGATATCAAACTACTAAAATACTGTAGCAATATTAATGTTATGCAAACAAAGAAACAGCCACCTTTTAAAGATATTATCTGACTTCGAATGTCTGCCGTGTCCTGGTTACTTTGCTCAGGTGTCTTATTTCAGGCATCTGGCCTGCTGTTTTCGTTCAGCAGGGTATCTCAAATCATGTCTGACTGCGATGATGCTGTAATACAGCCAGACAATGTGTACTCAGCTTATTTATCATTCAAATCTTGTGGAAATCAGATTTTCTAAGGAAGTGGTTCACAACACTGGTCCTTGAGGAACGCCATCCTGCATGTTTTAGTTGTTTCTCTGTTCCAACACACCTGATTCAGTGATTTAACTATGTTGTCAAGCTATGCAGAAGCCTGTTAATCACTCATGGATTCAAATCAGGTATGTTAAAGCAGGGAAACAACTTAAACACACAGGATGGTGTTCCTCAAGACCAGGGTTGGGAACCACTGGTCTAAGGAAACGCCAAAACTAAGGCTGTTTGGCTAGACTAAATATTCTATTTAGATTTTATTACTTGAAGTTCTGATTTATCAAGGATTAATCCTCCAGAGTTAATCCCGCTCTGTGACCTGATTCATATTCAGTCAGCTAAATATATTCACAGCAAGTCATTGAATTCAGTCGGGCACTGAGCAAACCAGTGTCAGAGAACCAGCCACCCTCTTTGAGGACACCAGTACTGTACTTATAATAATTTAAAGAAGTGTGAGTATGTTGTTATCAAGCTATCTACACAAAATGGTTTTTTTATGGCTGATATAGACTGTTTTATTTCTAGAGATGCACTGATCAGTTTTCTGGTTCAGATTTTACATTTTTGGAGAGGGTTGATTTTGTTGATTCCTTTTTAAGACGATCTCTCAAAGATTTTGCAGACATGCTTTGGTGATTGTTGTGGCCTAAAAAGTATTTTGTGGCCCAACAAATTTAAGTCAGGTCATTTGGACAGTTTTTTTTTTTTTTTGTTGTTTAGATGTTTCATCCTTCATCCAAAGGACTTCATCAGCCACAAAAAAATCAATCCCACAAGCAGAACTCTCACATAGTGGGCCAACCAGTTTGATGGTGATAAGATGTTTCTGGAGTTTGCCCTCTCCCCCTGTCGTCTCCTCTGAGGCAGCCATGGCCAAAGTGGTTCAAAACATCAAAGTTTTGATTTCTGATTTTTTTAACCTGGATTACTGAGCATGAACTTTGATGCTTTGAACCGCTTTAGCCGTGGCTGCTTGAGAGAAGTCAACGGATTATTGATTACCTGGATTATTGAGCATGAACTTGGATGCTTATTTTGTGGCAACTTTTTCAGAAAGCTGCAATGTTTTGTAGCCTTTTTTTCTTCTTTTACACACCAAGAACAAATTAATATACAAAACTTACCATACAATTGATGTGAACATAGCAAAGCTGTTTAGATGCCGAATATCCAGCTGTGATAATTGAAGTCAATGAGTCTTCTGAATATGATGAATTACAGGCTTTGTGTGAACCAGCAGGTGATTTCCAGTTCTTTTTCTTGTCTCTGATGCACATTTTTGCAATGCAATAAACTGAAATTGCTCTGACAGATTGTCTGATTTAAGGTGATACTTCTCCCTCTGAAAAATAATTATTATTTAAGTAAATTTTATATTTAAATACTGTTACAGTAGTCCCTCGTTTATTGTGGGGGATCCGTACCCTGAAGCCCCACAATAAGTGAAAAACATCTCTGCCTCCGGCTGCACTCTTAGCCACTCCCACTTCTCTGCTCTGCACGGAGATCAGCTGATCAGCTGCAGGAGGAAGCTTCTCCTACAGCTGTGGGCTGCACACAGGCGCTAAATCATTTCAAATAATTAAAAAAAAAAAAAATTCCATGCTGATTGTTGGCCCATCCATCAATCAGCCGTTGTGTGTTATGTCCAAACTTACTTTGAAATCCGCGATAGAGCGGGTCTGCGAAAACTGAACTGTGAAGTAACGCGGTGTCTACTGTATTTGAGAGGCAATCTCCTCCCTTGGTACTTTTTATCACCACTAGCCAGGCCATATCCAGCTGACTGAAAAAGAATACACCCAAACTATTTTTTGAGGCCTTTCCTCGTCTGGGAATGTTGCATTTATAAATGTATGTAGAGCAAATTTGATACTATAAACAAAAAGCAGTGAAGCTGATTTGGTACAACAACTAGGATTACACCAGTTTTCAGGATATTAAATAGGATATTTATGTCACTTGGTGGTTTGTTAAAAAAAAAAAAAAAAAAAAAATTGACCAAACAAGTATTTTCTTTATCCAGAAGTATTTTGTTTAGTCTCTGTTGAAAACCCTTCCTTTGGAAATGGACCACATAGTAAGAGGTTCAAGACCAAGAGTGCAGTTGTGCACTTTTCTGGAGACACTAGACAAATTATTTCCAGAGACTAAAAGCTAAAACATGAAAGCTTTTGTAGATCTCGGTCCCGCATTATTGATCATTTCTGAAATTGCGTTTGTAACTGGCTTTTGAGTCCATCTAACTGGTAATGCTTGTTATTTGAAGCAGCATCCCTCAGAAGCGTGTGTTTCTGCTGGCTTCCAGATAAAATGACCATAAATGCAAAATCAATTCTGCAAACAGCTTCTTTCTGCCGACTATTATTTAAAATCATAAGGAGTAATTTCCT